CAGCAAAGGAGCTTGGCAACATCCTCAATCCTCTGTTGTTCCTCCTCGAGTTCCTCCTTCGGACGCTGCCATGCTTTGTAATTGTTCCTCCAATTGATTGGTGGACCTGAAAGTATCCAGGAACCACCTGGTCTAAGAACACGATCAACCTCCTTCAGATACATCCCATCTGCAATCACACACATCCATCAATCACTCGACTTTTGCTATGGAAAATCTTCACTAAACAACGCCTCAAAGGCCAAAATCAACTTAAATACCATACCAGTTATGCTTAAACATAAGAGCACTCAGATTTCAGTTTACAACTCACCATTTGCTCCCCATGGAATCAAGCAACGAGAACAGTGAGCCATATCAAAAGCTCTAGATGGATATGGCATCTTTATAGTCCCAAGGACACCAATAACAGCAGGTACACCTCTTTCAAGAGCAAATTGAACCTGTGCTTCATGAGAATCTCTTGGTGCAAATGACATGGTAAGGACATTCCTACTCCAAAGGTATGCCCCCCAACTTGCAACCTACAAACAAAAATGCATTCTACCATTACAAATCAATAGATCGACTTAAAAAACAAAACTTTGAAGAGCGTGACAACATAAACATACCCCACAACCGGTATCGAGTGCGGTCCTAACTGTCCCGTTAGTGATAGGAATCACGTCGGCGAGCTGATCGATATACTTATCCGCCCCTTGTGGGAACTGCGTTCCTCCACCGGGGAACCTAAACACATTACCCTCATATTGAATCCAATTCTGAATCGCCTTCTCAACCGTCAAGGCCTTATAGGGAGCATTGGCATAAGGCACATAGTCCCGACTCTTGGGCCAAGGAAACGGCGTGACGTATCCTTCCGGTGCCGGAACAAGACAATGCAATTTCTCTTCCTCCCTGGGGCAATGCCTCTCCCGGTACACCATGTTGTCCCTTGGGAAAGTCATGGCACGCTTCTGATCTTGGCAAGGCGTGTAATCGACGTAACGAGGAGGGCATGGCTTAAAAGATTTGGGCTTTTGGGATTCATCGGCGTTCCCAACATCGCCGGCGTGATGGGTTTCGAAGTTCAAGGAATGGATTATATTGCAATCGGTTATCTCTAAAGGTATTTTATCCCCTTTACCGAAACCACTTCTCTGCCAAGCTCCTAATATGTAGAAAAAACAGCATAATCCAAAAATAATAAATATTTGAACCCAACTTCTTGTTCTACTATCACCTGGATTTTTCAGTGCCATTTTTCAAAATAATAACCTGCAAATTAGTTTTTCTTCTTCAGATCAATCAAAACTAAAGAAAGAAAGCGAACCCAAACTAGCTAAACAGCTGGATTCAGTAATTTAAAAAATAAATAAAACCCATAATGGATCTAAAGAAAAAAATGTCAGATGACTCACCAATAACATCAATAGACGAAATCAGTTGTTGAATATCTTTAAAAAAACAAAAGGATCTCGAGAGCTTGGAAGGGAAGGAGACGTGTCGAGAAAACACTGAAAAGTTACAACACTAGACTCCTCTCTGTCTCAAAAATCTCAATTATAGTAGAATCGAAGAAGAACGATCATCGTAAAACAACGTTACAAAGAAAAAGGTTAAAGCAAGAATCACTTTGTGTAATGGGGATTACTATAAAAGCATCCAAGCTTCGAAAACTCAACTCTTTTCCTACATCTTTGTCTTTCCATCTGTCGCGTCGTATTATAGTTATTAGTAGGCGGTTTAATTTTGATTTTAGTCCCTCTATTTTGTTCTCTGTTTTGACGAAATTTGATCTCTTTATCATTTATAATGTTATTAGTCTATTCAAAATAATAATATTGCTAGTTGTTGCTAGTGAAGTAATGATTAGAAGAAAAACAGAAAAATATAATTATTTTGTTGATATATAAATTTATTATTTGATTAAATATTGTTAGATTGAAAGTTTTATGTGATTTTGACTGTATGCTTAAATAACAGTAAAAACATATATTCTCATTGGCATGACAACAACTAAAAGTGTTGTCAATTTCAATATGTTAATAATATTACAAAAGTTAGAGGATTAAATTAAGTGAAAAGACTTAATTTCATATTTAATAATAGTAGAAGGGCTTAAAACATAATTAGACCTTAATAAAATAATTCCGAGTCATAGGCTCCCATCGTTAAATTAAAGGGTAAACCATACGTTCAGTGGCCCATTTATCAATTTTATTCTTTTTGGTCACCCAACTACTAACGTTACATTTTGATTTCATTTTGGTCATTCGCAATTAAAAAATTAACAAAACTATTGACATGACACAATTATAAAAAAATTAAATGATGATGTAGCATTAAATTATGATGACAATTCAGCATTTCGGCTAATTTTCTACCGATGAGTGATCAAAATAAAATTAAAATGTAACATTAAATATAATAATTTTAAAATAAAAAATAGTTGTATGACAAAAATGACACAAAAGTGATAGTTGATATACTAAATGTGTAGTTTACCCTAAGATTAAAACGAGGTGCATAAAACGTGTCGTTTGGGGCCTACTGCCGAGGGTGAGGATTGAGTGGGAGAAATGAGACTATGGGTCCCACGGGGAGGGAAGGATCTAGATTTACGTTTAAAGAGGCAGTGATTGATGAAGATGATTAAGTGCGGACAAGTGTAGGATGGGCAACAACTTTGGTCTGTAGGATGATAGAAAACCTGACAATTGAGAGTTTAAATCGATCAAAAGATATTAATATGACGACAACTTATAAACTATTGAATTTGTTTGATTTGGTTTGTTGAGATATTATGATACCCGAAATATTAGAATTAAACAAATTATAAACTATTAAGATGCTTTTTTTATAGTTTGTATTTTGGTTTGTACTCTCTCTCTTAATAATTTATCTCCTTTTAACATACCAAAATTTTCATTCCCCTCCTCTAACTATAATTTATTTAAAATAATGATAATATATCTCCTTTAATATTTAACTATATAAATTATACAGTAAATTACAAATTTAATCACTCGTCTATTTTTACAATTTTGTTTTTATCATCTAACTATCTTTTAAAATTATTCTTAACATTATGTTTTTATTTCGATTTGATGATTCATTATTAACAAATTAATTACGATTAATTGTCATTGTATCACTATAAGATAATATCACATCATTATTAAAACATAAAATAATTGTCATATCAATTTTTTTTTAATTTTTAATGATGAGGGACCAAAATATAACATTAGATATAATTTTAAAAAATGATAAACTACGTGTTTAGTACCTAAACTATTAGTTTTGGCCCGTTTTAGTACTTAAACTTTCAATTTTTTTAAAACCATACATAATGTTTAGTTTTTGTTTCATTTTAGTACTTCGACATTAAAAACCTAACGTGCTTAGTGCCTACTCTATCTGCTTTGTTCCGTTTTAGTACTTAAAGTTTCAATTTCTTTTCAAAAACTTAACATTAAGTTTTTAACGGGATACGAAAATGAAATAAAAACTAAACGTTAGGTGTGGTTTTGAAAATTTTAAAAGTTTAGTTACTAAAATGGAACAAAACTGATGATTTAGGTACTAAATATGTAAATTACCTTTAAAAAATAATTCCATAACAAAATAAAATTACAAAAGGTGTATGACTAAATACAGAAATGATCCTAAATTATAATGGCACAATTATATAACTTTAGAATTTAGTAATATTAGTTGTAAAATTAAAGAGTGCAATAAAAATCCCAAAAAGAAAAACAATAAATCCACTTTAACGGAGATTGTTGGAGTGACCGATGTCACCAAAATGGGTAAAGGATAAAGAAGATGGAGAAGATTAGGATCAGGTGATGGCGAGCTAAGAGCTCTAGTGAATTTTGAGATATGTTTTAAGATTAACGTATGTATATATTAACAATATAATTAATTGTATGAAATAATACAAATAAAATTTTGAAGTGGATATAATCAATAAAATGGATAAATAATTGAAATTTTAAAATAAAATGGACCCGCCATGAGCAAGGAGGAGGAAGCTATGAGAACTGTTGTAGAGGAGGGTGAAGATAGAGTGACAGATGACTATAAAAAGGTAAGATGGTATGATTATGCAAGAAACAAGTGGCTGCAGATGTGGAAGTGAATCATGATGTTTTGATTGGTATTAAAAAGATTTGAAATTATAGGTTTAGGAAAACTTCAAACAAATATATGGTACGATGTGTGACCTACTAGCAGAAGTTGAACGTGGAGGGTGGAATCAATTTCAGAGCCATAATTTGTCATTTTATAAGACATACGTCAGAGATTGATTTTTTCAGCCAGTGGTCCGCACGTTCTTGCCTCAGTCACTGGGAATTCCATTTCTCCAATTTTTTGTTTTCTTCTATTTACCAACCAATTCATAACTTATTTCTTTTATTGTTTCCTCAATTTCAAAAAGAAAAAGAAATGCCAAACCCAATAATTAATATCGTCTGATGCCATTAAAAGCCTTGTGTGCTGGAAAGTGGGTTTTTGTAGCAATGGTCTCTCGGCCGTTCATGGATATGGTGGTCGTTGTGGACCTTGTGGTTGGATCAACGTTCATGCCACTTCCTATGGCGGTGTGTGATGCTTTAGGAACAACGGGTAGTCGGCTATTCGCCAATTCAAGCAGTTTCTTCCTACCATATATACCACTTCAACTCCAACACCCATATTTTCACTAATTTATGCATACCTGTATTGTCAGGGGCTACATTGCGGTCACAGCCACAGAACCTTTTCCTAAAATTATTATATATTTTATTTATATATTTATTGATAATATATTTTCGTCCCTAATTTTTTTATAAGTTCACCTAATTCATTAGCCTTAAATATATAATCAAAATTGAGACTTCTTACTGCAAACAAAGAGTTCCATCCACAACAAGTCTCGATGACAAAGTTCAAGTGGTTTGATTTCTTCAGCAAGAGTAATAAACGCTACATTAAGTTTTAACAGTTTGAAATTGATTTGAAAGCTGAAATGTAAACCGGAGAAACTTATAATACATTCGGATTTGAAAGTTCAATCGTATGATCTGCAGCTTGCTCTGGTTCATCACTACAAAATTTACATGTAGTAGTACTAGGAGTTAGATGTAAGCAGTGATCGATTCTTTTTTCCATCCAATCTAATCTCCTCTCTATACCCAGTACCCCAACATGCATAATCCGCATGTCAACCTCGGCAACCATGGCACAAGCACGGAGTAGGATATAGTAATCAGCATGAGCAACATATGTTATGGCGCCTTCATCTCTTTTCCTTACATATTGAAGGTAATCTAATCTCCTCAGCTTAATCCTTGGTGGGATATAACAGAACCTGTTCTCCTCCATGTTTTTCTTCATCAATCTAAGTGCTCTATGTTCATTGGTCTCTGCTGAAACTTTGTCACTGGGTTCTGGATTTTCATGCTCCTCTGAAGTCATGGATGAATTGTCGACATCTGAGCGTCTTTGAGTCAAAATATCTTCATGAGAAGTCCTTCCATCATGGGAGGGACTAGAATGATATGCATTATCTCGGACCTTTTTGTTCGCTTTATACATGATGTCGGCACTGCTATTTCGCTCTGTCAAACCTTCTACCGGTTGAGAACCCTGGAATCAACACAAGCAATTATAATTCAAACATAAGAGTAGTATTTGCTAACTTAAAAACTGGTTCACTCACAAAGTTTGTCACATTTATCAAGAACAGCAAAGGATTTGACCTACAAGTTCTCTTCTAGATGTGATGGGAAGGACAAAAAATAAGAACCAAAAACGAGAGGGAACTAATAAAAAAAAGGACTGTTTTCAGCCAGAACAACATAAGTGTTCATCAGCTGCTGAACAAATCCCCAATTGTAGCTTCTACATACTTCTGTTTTAAAACTGCATAATAGAACTCAGACTTAGACCATTGATTCGGAGTGCAGAAAACACATTTAAAAGTATTTTCATACTTGCAACATAAGATATAATCATAGCTTATAACTTACCTTTTCTTCTTGATAATAATTCCAAAGCTTGTCGATTAAAGTTTTCTCCTCGTGAAAAAAGTCTACAGCCGGTTCTGATCCAGCAAAAACCACATCCTTACAGAATTGTAGATATGATGGCATGCTTTTAGAGAGATCCCTTGTACATTTAACACCACCATATGTGTTATAAATCTCATTATATCTTGCTTCAAGGTTGTGCAAAAGCCCAGCAGCATCAAACTTGGATTCATGATCAGATGATGGATTTTTAGTAGAACTAGTACCCAAATCATCTACACTGTGAGGAGAACCAAAACTATTTTCAGCATCGTCCCCCCTTCTGGGACTACTTGCAGGGTCCTTACTCATGGCTTCAGTAGATCTACTAGGAGGATTAGGACTGGACAAGCTTTTTTCCCACACCCCAAGTCCATTTATGTCATATAGAATCCGTATTGCTACAATCAGTATTGACATCACATTGACACGAGTAGGAAGTCCAGAACTATTTGCTGACAACCATAATTCTGGAGGCATCGCCCACTCATATATGCGGCATGCACGTGGCAGAATTTCCTCCACTGAAATAGACAACTCCTTTAGATATCTTGAAGCAATTTCATAGAAATTCACTGGGGGTAAATTCAAGCCTATGCCCTGAGCAATTGTAGCAGCCAATGATTCCAACTGTTGAGCAGAATAAGCATGTGCAGGCCTAAACATACTTCTAAGAGTTAAAGGAAATGGAGGCAAAGACTGTCCAATGCGTTTCTCAATTTCAACAAAAGCATCAAAATAGGTAAGCTCCCCTTCAACCGACCACTTTATCAAGTCTGTTGGAAGAACTGCTTCCCTTGCAATATGGCATCCTAGAAAAGAAATAGCTAAAGAACAAGATAACGGAATCTTTTTCCTTAAATACTTATTCCAAATCATTAATGCTCTCTGACCGTGGATGTTGTGAGGCTCAGCTTTGTGACGATAATATGGCTTAAAATTTTCAATTTCTCCTAAAAACGGGGACAAAATGCAGATGGTGATCAAAAAATAACATAACTATCAATAAGAACAAACAAAAATGGGGTAGAGAAGAGAGAAAACAAAACAACTTTAAAAAAAACACTATAATTTGCATGTAAATTGTAGGGAATAAGACATTTTCAATTTCTCCCGTAGAACTATATAGTTAAACCATACTTTCAAATAAAACTATACAGTAAAAACAACTTTGATTATATGAATTATTTTCCTTTCACACCACCAAAAATTTAATGATAATAAAATGTCATGTCATGAAACTATAGAACCAACCAAATTCGAGATGACAGTTTTACCTTACACATATATTTTATTCAATATTTATATTTTAGGGCACAGCTGACATTGAATGGCTAGTACTGTTTTACACTTTTTGTCCACACTTGGGGAAAACTAACATCAATTTTAAGGTGGAAAGAAGCAGAATAACATCAACCATCCTCAACTATTATCAAAGCCCAGAAACAGTGATCTGTAATGAGCAAATAAATAGCTATAAAAAATAAACACTCGAACAATCAAAACCTAATTACCTAGGGCAGAATTGTATGAAAACTAAAGCAGCAATATCACCGTACCGACAAAGTACTTATAACTCTAACAAGCATCATCATCAACTTTCATTCATCTACTCATAGTTATGCATGTAAAAGGTAAATACAAGAAATTGTTTAAAATGATACAGCCAACGGCCGATACCTGATTTTTGAATCTCAGACTGATGAATAGCCTCATCAGCCCAACCGTCATCAAAAATCCCAGTGCTAGCCAAAAATCTCAACCAAATAGGTCCAACTATCCCACAAATCAAAGGTTTCACATTAAACTTCTCCACCAGAGCCTCACATTGAGCTTCTATCATCATCTGCAACCCCATCACATACCTGTTCCTAACCTCCTGGTAATAACCTTCATAACTGTATGTACACATGGAGTATGAGCCAAAATCACTTGTGCCCGAGGGCCCCATACCATCTCCAATTCCATCTTGATTCAAATTGGACCAAAATTGTTGAGATTGGGGGTCAACATGTGAGATCGGTTGGGCTGAGATGACAGGTTGGCGAGAATGGCGAGTATGGCTGGCCAAGTAAACTGCACCACCACCCTGTGTACCCTTTTCAATAAAATCCTCATCAGCAACACCCGTATCAATGATGTCATCAGCCTGAGACCCACATCTCAAGCAATAGAAATAACCATCTGATCCATCGGCCATTCCCGTATTCCCACACATGTTGCAAGTCCATTGGGAGCAATCCTCCTCCATCTGATGTGTGGCTGACTGTAAACTTTTGTCAACATGCAGGGGATATTACAGCATCTTCATCTTTGTTCACAAATTTTACTGTTGAGCTGCTCTGAACAGAGAACGCATACAAAACTTCTGAACAAGCAGCATATTGACAGAAGTTTCTAACAAACTATAACCTTAGCAAACGTATTGAATGGAAACTACTAAAAAACGATGGTGCTTTTTTACATAAAACCACTTTGCATAACCCGGGGGGGGGGAGTTGAATTACTTTAATGAAAATTAGATTTTAACAAACAAACAAAACCGCATATTACAAAGTAGCACAACTTTTTCTTAATGTAGAATGTAAGATAACCCTACGAACAACTAAAACTGGAAAATACATTGAAGCATAATATCGAACATCTTATAGAAAAATCTGACTTCTTCTGGATATTTCTCATTTTATTTTGTCACGCTATTGAATTGAAGAACTTTTACCTCACTTTAGATCCTGGAACAGCAAGAACTTTGAGGATTTAGTGAAAATGAAAGACATATTTCACTTACTCGGTTTTATGCGTGGGCAACTTGCAAAGACGGCTTAATGGAGGGTCAAAGCATGTTTTGAATTCATGAAGAAACCAATTTCAGAGGTTGTTGGTTGGGGTTTTAACAAATGACAAAGGGGTTGTCGGGCAGATGCCAGGCGTAGCGCAGGTTCAAATAGGGCGGTGGGACTAATTCGCATGATTTTAGCAATAAAAAAAGAAGAGGTTTTGCAGATGTGATAATTTGAGTGAAGGTTTTGAGGGCTCTAGGATTTTTTTTATTTCTAATAATATTTTCCAGGTAAATTATAAATTTGACCACTAAAACTTATTCTCTAATAATTTGAGTGAAGGTTTTGAGGACTCTAGAGAAAATTATATCGTTTCTCATTTAACTTTACTCCATCTCTTATTTTGCTCATCATAATTTTAAATTTTCTATTTTACTCACTGAACTTTATGTATTGTCATTTTGCTCACTCCACTGTTGACTTTTTAATAGTGTTATGACATGACACAAGCATCAAAACAACGTTGTTTTAAAAAATTGAAATATATACCAAAACGACATCATTTTGAATCTTCATCTTTCTCCCTATTTTTCTCTACTTTGCAAATAAGGTGATTGGTTGCCACCGCAAACCACCACGCCATTTTTCATTCCGATCACTGTCTATTGTCGTTGATGATGGTTGTTCGGTCTCAAAATTCATATGTCGCTTTTTCTCAACCCCTGAGTTCAAATCTAGCGGTTGTTTCACTAGAAAATGTCCCAAAATCTTTGAATCTTGATCCAAATATTTCGGCTTCCTCACTTTAATCTCCAATTAGTGGACTTAGGAGTAAGTTTCGATGGAGGTCGGATTCAGACTCCATGTGTTGAGGCGAAGCGACGCATGAAATTTGGGACCGAAAGGTCACCATGACGGTAACATCCAACCACCTTCTATTTTTATTTTATAGTTAGGTGAGTAAAATAGGAGCGAGAGGTGTAATTTACCCTTTATATTTTCAATTATGTTATATTAAATAAAAAACACATATCATCACACCATTAGAGAATTAAAGGCAGAGTGAGCAAAATGATTCAGTTTGTAAAGTTTAGGGAGCAAAATAGAAAAATTGAAAGTACGGTGAGTAAAATAAGAGAGAGTAAAGTTCAGTAAAGAACGATGTAATTTACCCTCATTTATTATATTTAAAAAAATTAATTTAATCACTAAGTTTTATGATGATGTGGTATTTTTTACTATTTCTAATCAATTATATTTTATTAATATCATTTATAGATTTTTTATTATCCTCATTTATTATTGATCTTTTCTTTCACCTCCCCATCCTCATTAGATTTCATTAACTCCATTTTCCTTTTCGTTATCTTTCGTTTTGTTTGGTGGTCCAACAAGGAGCTTTCTTATAGTTATCAACTTTCATTTGTTGATTACTCGAAAAGTTTTAAAATTAACAAACTTAAGCTCATAACACTTATATTCTAATGGCTTCTCATTGACATTTAATATCCCAAGACTTAATTGGGTATTTCTTTGTCTATCTGATGCATTAGTATGAAAAATATTCAATAAAAAACAATATTCAAATAAATCAAACCAAAGAGAACAACAATATAATCTAGATATAAAAATCCCCACCTTAAACTCCTAATCTAGATATAAATATCCCTACTAACAAACACATCATTGAAACTTTCTAAAATCCTATAAAATTTTAAAGAGGAAATGAAAGGGGAACGAATGATGGGGTCACTTAGAAATCGTAAGTCTTATATTTTAAGATGGTTTAAACTTCTGTCTTACTTGCTTGATAGAGTTTATTACAAGTGTCCCTACGCTATCTCTAGTCATGGGATCTTACAGATGAGAATGCCACAGCAAATCCTCTCGGCCTGAGCAGCAGCGTCTAACCTATCGATTCAACACTACTCCTTTTAGTCGTTGAAATCCTAACTGCATCTCTGACGGTGGAGTAGTCTCTAGTTAAAAGCTAAAACCCATTGCTTACGTCGATCATCCTTTAGTTTCTCTCGAACACTAAAGATCAATAACTTTGTTTCTCTCGAACACTAAGTAGTTTACTTAAAAAAGTTACTCATAGCTCCTAGAATTTTAAGTAATTAAAAACAATAAGCAAAACAAGTAATAAACATGAAACTATTAACCATCCATTAAAAAAACTTAATCATCAATGATGAACCCCACCAAATAAGGTTTAGTTCATGGTGGGGTTCGAATAATGCATGAAAATCATACATTCCTTACAACCCATAGACGTAAAAAAAATAAAACATAAGGGTGGAGAAAAGACTCCAAACGTGTGATATCAGAGCTCCCTCAGCCACCACAAACCACCTCAGCGGTGCTAGCTCTTCTCGGACGCCTAGATCGCCATTCCCTAAAGCTTGAAAATAAAAGAACACCACGAAAGAGATGGGGAAAAAAAAGAAAGTTGGAAGCTTGTTGTCGCCTTTTCTTCTCTTGTTCAGCTCACTTTTCTCCCTAAAAAGATTAGATTATTCATTTGTGGTGTCATAATATATATATATATATATACCAAGGGAATATGCCTAGGATTTTGTACCAAAATTACAAAGGTACCCTAAGGTACATTCCCCACATGTGAAGGGTAGTACAATAGGTGGCAGTGGGCCCCCTCCTGGGTGGTTGACGGAAAAGAACACATGATAAATTTACAATTATCCTTGTGTGAAAATATCTTCAACCCATTTGCCCTTTTTTAAGGCTAGAATATCACGACACTTTCATTTTGCTTCAGTATCATAGTTTTCCATGACAATTCTCCTTACACACCCTTGCTCCTAGAACCTGCACATCAACATCCAAACCAAACCGTCCCTATAAAATAGCACTATTCACAAAATAAAATGCGAAGGAAAAATAAATCTACCAAATGCAACTACATACTCCTAAATGCATCTAAATGAACCTATATGAGCCTTAAGACAATCAACAACTTAAGTAAAAATGCCCCAATATAGACTTTTTATGGAGTTATCACACCCCAAAACTTAAGCTGTTACTTGTCCTTAAGCAATGGATAGCCGCCACAAAAGAAAAAATGTCATGGAAAATTTCAGAATCAAGACAATCATATGAAATATAATTTCAGTCCTTAGAAAAGTTGACCTCACATGCTAGACAAATTGAGAATCAAGTATTGTTCCCTAGGGCAAGATCATTTTCATATGTGTGTGTGTGATTGTATCTAATCTATGCTTAACGAAGCTAGGAAGTTTTTAATCAAGCTCTCTTGTTTTGCCATAACATTTATTCTTCCATTAAGAACAAGATTCACTCCCATTTCTTTAATACTTAAATGTTTTTGTGTATTTCTACAAGGGGTGTCAGCCTATCACACCTACTTTCCTAGACTTGAGAATGAAGTGGAGAAAACACACTATTCCCTAGCCTATTGAGCAAAGTCATATTGTGAATTCTTTCATTCACTCATATGCTTATGGATGTTATTTATTAAAGAGAGTATCCAGGCAATGTCACGGCAAAGAGGAGTGTCCCTTTACATTTATGTCGAAACATTTATTTGCAGTTAAACACAAATCAACATATAAGGGAGTTTAATTTAAAATTTAAGCAACCATTTTTCATTTAAGATAATTATCAAAATTTTATGTTATAGCATATGCAAAAGTTCTTTCATAAAAAATTTCTAAGTTCCTTAATCATAGAAAACATATAATCGTGTATCAAAAGTCACAAAGCATCAAGACCAGAGTTGGTTCTCTCATTCTCAATAGTCATGCACATTCAATTCTAGACATAAATAATTAATCATCATTGGGCATCATTAACTTATTCCACAGACTGTCCTAACTCTTATTGATGCCAGACATAATAATTCTGTTGACCCTATAATATAGATGTCCTACTAAGAACCCTACCTCCCCTAAACTTGAGGAAAACATTGTCCTCAATGCTTTAATGAAAACTAAATTATAACTAAACTACATGTTATGCAATGCAATGGGATGTTAGGTACCTCAATTTCATATGGTGGTGGGGATGCCATGTTGGCCATGCTACGCCTGGTGCGTTTTCTCAATGGGGTGGGGCTTAATTCAGGGTTAAACTCTGGTGCGGCAGGTGGGGTACTTGGGCCCTTAGTGATCTTCGTGCATCTAGTTGACTTCTTTAGGCATCTTCTAGTTCTACACGGTAAAGGTTGCCACGATATTTTAGTTTGACACTGGGAGGCTCACTCGATGGATCTATATTAGTAGGAGCATTCGGGGACTATTCACGCTCGGACTGGACTTGGGGCTGAGGTTCGTGTGTTCTTTCCTCTGTATCGGGCATTGTATTGCTCATATTAGCATTTTGTGGTTTAGGTGAAGTATCTTGTGGGGTGACAGTTGGAATTGTCGTGACATCTTAGATGTTGGTAAGATTACGTCCGGAAAAGTTGGTAGATTATGAGCCAAGTGTGGGAGCATCTCCTTGTAAATGGATGCCACAAATGTATCCATTTGCTTGGCATAAGCAAAGAAGGTATTGAGCTCTCGTTCAAGGCCATCAATTGATCTTTTGACTCCCTTCTTGATTCCTCAAGAGCATTCAGTTTTTCCGCTACATCTTGGTTTGCACCAGTCTTGGAAACTTCCTCGTCCTTGTCCTTGGCCTTGTCCTCATTGAATCCCAATAATATAGGGATTATTGCTTTAGTGTTACCAATCAACCCAGGCATGATTTCATCAAATGTATCCTCTTGAACCTTTTTTCTTACGTCAAAGTCTCGTGATGAGGCTGGGAAAGACTAAGGCACTAGCTAACCGTTTTCAAGCACGCATGTGCTTGCTTAAATATAATCTTTCCTGCGGCTTTCGAACACCCAACCAACATCAAGTACAAAAGCATCATCCGAGGTAGTGAGATGGTAGTGTTGTGTGCGCTTGGCATTACCTTGTGCTTAATGAAGTGGTTCCATAGTTTGGCCTTTGGTTGAAGCTTTTCTTGATCCATCAAACGCCTATTTGCTTACTTTCCATTCCACTCTGAGTTTGCAAGGAATAAGTCTTCATTAACACTATGATAGGTCTCATTATCAGCCTCATTCTCAAACTTAGTATAGCCATCAACAACATCTTGCAGTTTAAAGTATCGATTAATCGCGGAAGGTGTAAA